ATTTAATAAGTAATTTGCTAAGTTGAAACACTGGCTTTCTATTGATTATATATAACATAGTATAAAACATCAGAGAAAACTATTGGCAATTTGTGAAAGAGGATGTGGCAAGTGGGTTAAATTTTCTAGTTTATGGCTCTATAAACAAATAGGATTGAATGGTATAAAGATTATGCTTTGCCTTAGCAATATCTATATCATAATGAGTAATTTACCTTAAATTCTGTACTTATCAGAGGGGGTGGTAAATAAATTAAACAGGGAAGATCTAGAGAACAATATTACTACTCTCATACTAGGAGAGATTGAGGATTTTTGAAATATTTCCTTATAAAATTAAGAACATAAACCTTAAAAAATATTCAAATTTAATTTATTAACTACATGGTTACACGAGTATGCCCAAGTAGCATATTGCATAAGTAACAAAGCAACCATGATATTAATCACACTATAACTTTTGATAATGTATGCAAATGTTCACAGAACTTAACAGACTATGAGAAACATTACAAAGCTTTTCACACACAAAAATAATATTTTTTATTTAACTATTTTAACTAAAGATCTGCACTAAAGATCATTTTTGCACTTGGAATGTTGACTATCTGACACAACTTGATTTTGATTTTATAATTAAAAATACTTTTCCTTATGTGAAACTTTTAAGTTTCATTTATGTAATCACTGAAACCTACTAAATATATAACAAACGTTTTTCCTTTCTGTAAATCTTTAAATTATTTCTCATATTTGCTTTACTGTAACACTATACTTGACTCTCCATATTGTTACCAAGCTTTAATGAAAAGAAAGGTTGTAAAGTGCAAAATAAAATGTACAATTCTGTTAGGACTGACCATAAGTTCCAAAGTACTCGTGTTCATACTTTCTACTTATAACCTTTTCACATCTGTTTTCTCTATTTATTTTACTTTTAGTGATACACTTTGAAAGTCGCCAAATCTAAGCCAATGATTTACTGCTTGTACTGTTACTGTTTCTGCAGGCTATAGTGAGGTACTTCTGAAAGCAAACAAGCATACTCAGACAAACAGAGAATAGCACTCTGAATGTGGGTAAATGTTTATGATGCTACTCTAATCTAATCCCATTAAATTTAAAGATATATTCAAAGATAATTTTTGTAAACTTTATATATGCATTCTGAAGTACCAAAAAAATCTAAGTTACTAGATCAATACTATATGTTACTATGTGTTACAAGGGTTCTACTGTACTTGTATCCATTATATCTACTTGCTGAAGATGAAACGAGATTACTAGTGTTACATGAGTTCTACTGTATTTGTATTTTTAGATCAACTTCCTGCAGATGGAATGAGACTACTTGTGAACATGAATTCTACTGTATTTGTATTTTTAGATCTACTTGCTGAAAATGGAAAGAGACTACTTATAATCTTACGTTCTACTGCGATTGTATCCTTTATCTTTAATTGCTGAAGATGGAAACAGACTATTTCAAACTACAGTTCTCTCAGTAGTGCTTGCGTTCACCATTGAGTTAAGATTTCATGTCATGAATCAGTTACCATAAATTAGTCTTATTTTATCATTAAAACTAAGGTCAAAAGTAGCAAAAAATAAGACAGGGCTAAACAAGAAATAGCAAGAAAGCATAATGTTTTGATACATAATACACAAGTTATTTTAAGACACATTTTTATATTATGTATTTTATCTCAAATACAGTACTGAATATTATTTAAAATTCAAATAACTATAGACCTTTTAAATTACTGATTCAAAATTATGGCTAGATAATTATCACAGAATTTGTTTTGAGTTTAACATAACAAAAGCCATGCAATTACTTGCATTTCAGAAAAAGTAATTCTTCTTTATAGAAGACAAAACTAAATAAATTTGTAGGTGTCCAAATAGAAAATATGATGACACGAATATCAACTTGCTAAGTTACTTGCAGTTCGATTACCAAAGGAAGGTTATACTCATCAATCAAACGTTTAAACTCCTCTCTGAGCAACAGAACTTGCTTAAAATACATGTATATACAAAAAAATTCTCATATGTGTCAATTCATTTAAAGCTTACAAAATTGACTTAAATTTTGCTAAAACTTCTAGCTATATTATTTTTTCTTAACTGTTCACAACTATATATATTCATGGATAAGTTACATACACTATTTTAATAATTTTCTTTTGTAGTACTTTCTTCTCAATGATTGCATTACTAGTCACATTGTATAAATATGCTGTTGCAATCAATACTGGACTTGCATTATTCAAACCTAATTTTGAAGTAATAAACTAGGATGAAAGTAGCTAGCTAAACGCACAAACTGCCAACTCAGTTGGTGAATAAAATAGCATATCTATGGCCCCAAAATGCTGAGCACAATTTATCAGCAATGGATCGAGGACTTTGGTATTCAGGTTTCACAGACCAGGCATGCTAACCACTAGTTCATGCTTGTCCCAACATAACTTGGAAAACAGGCTGAGAAATCAAAAGTGGCAGTCAAAACAGAGCCTCTCAAATCACAATGGCATAAGAGTTATCTGCATATGCAAACATATTATTAGCAATTTAAATTTTTGTTTACCTGCAAAAATATTAAGACTGTTGATTTTGCAGTATGATCACATACAGATATATTAAACCAATGACAAAAACTACTTAAAATGTATATTATGGAATGCACTTGTTTCACACATTTCTGCCAACAAATAATGTGAAAATACAGTTTCATGAGAAGAAAGGCAATGTAGGACTAATTAAAATGCTTTTTTTTTGTCTATTATTGCTGATCAGATTCACAGTTTATTCTATATACTGTACTAAATTGTGTTGGTAATGTTTATCATGTTTAATGGGAGGTTCAGTCAGGTTTATTACAAGTTTAATAAGATAACATGCATGACAAATAATTTTTTTTACTATATAAAAGAAATATTATGACCTTGACTTCTGGCACCAGAAATGCTGATATCAGTAGACTTTTAAGCTGATTTATGATGAGCAAAATGTTCAATGCAAAAAAGGCGTTAATTTGATCTATCAACAGTGACTCACATTATAAACCAGAAGATACACTTTGTTTGACTATCAACAAAAGAACAAAACATGATATGTGGTAAACACTTGAATAGTCTTCAAACACTGCTCCACACAATAGAAGATAATGGAAAAGACCGCAAGTACATAATTAACAAAATAAGCCACAAGACATTGCATAACAAATGTTCATGACTTCAGTACCACAAGTACATAATGAACAAAAAAAGCCTCAACAAGTCACACAACAAATGTTCACAAGTACATAATGAACAAAAAAAGCCACAAGACATTACATAACAAATGTTCATGATTTTAGTATCACAAATACATAATTAACAAAAAAGCCATAATATATGACATAACAAATGTTTGTGACTTTAGTACCACAAGTACATAATAAACAACAAAAAAAAATCCACAAGATGTGACATAAATGTTAGCGACTTTAGTACCACAAGTACATAATGAACAAAAAAAAAGCCACAAGATGTGACATAAATGTTTGTGACTTTACTACCACAAGTACATGATGAACAAAAAAAAAGCCACAAGATGTGACATAAATGTTTGTGACTTTACTACCATAAGTACATGATGAACAAAAAAAAAGCCACAAAATGTGACATAAATGTTTGTGACTTTACTACCACAAGTACATGATGAACAAAAAAAAAGCCACAAGATGTGACATAAATGTTTGTGACTTTACTACCACAAGTACATTATGAACAAAAAAAAAGCCACAAGATGTGACATAAATGTTTGTAACTTTAGTGAGGAGAGAGCACAAAAGAAAAAAAGCACTTGTTCTAAGTTCTATGTTCCAGCCATCAGGGCACTACATCAAAAACAAAAAGTGAATTGTGAAGTTCTTCTGAACACAAAGTCACTGGAAAGGGTTACTATCTACAAAAGATAAATATCATAAGACCAAAGTTCACAAATATGTAAAAAATTACTATGAGGTACACATAATACAGTATTTCAAATATTTTCAAAGTCACACCATAAAATATGACTACTATGGACTAAAACTATGTATTTGTCTAGAATCAAAATGTATGATTTAGAAATATGAAGATATGCATAGATTCCTCTCTAATTAAATACTCCCTGAAGAACCTATTTTAGCTGACTTAACAGAATACATGGAAAATTATTTTTTTTACTATATAAACATACACAGAAAAAAGACAAACAGTTAGAAATGATACAGTGATTGAATTAATAAATGAATTATTTAGTGTGAATGTTGCCAGACAGAAGAAAAAATATGAAGCTAAAAAATTATAATAACAAAAAAAAAAAGGAGTTCAAAATATAAAGTGTTTGAGAAATAAGCACACAAGTTTGCTGTTAAGTAGAACACTAATGAGTATCAATGCACTATGGAAAAATAAAACACCAGTAAAATACAAATGTCTGAGGTGTACTGATGTAAGATGTGATTGAGAAGTAAATGACAAAAACATTCTTTGTTACGAAATGGGAAATAAATGACTGGGAATGGTTAAAGAGTATTTTAGAAGAATATAAGGGATGTCTTACAAACTGTGTTTATGAATAAAGTCAAAGTTTTATATGTAATGTCATCCTTTTTTTTTTTAAATAGTATTCAAAAACAGCTTTAAAGGGGTATTAATACCCTCTGGATCTTTTCAAGTGCCTCTACAAAACATAATGTAGAAGTAACAAGAAAGTTTTTGTCTTACGTGTAAAGTGTATTAAAAAATAATTGGAAAAATATTCTGACAACTTTTGGACAAAAGCAATAAATGTAGTCCCTGCTTTTATATGTACAAACAGGCATAACTAACAATTGATTAGAGACTTTCCTAATAATATATCATTGTTTTAGTTACAGGATGTTTGCTTTGTTTCATAAATTCCCAGAGTTTCAGAAGAGAAATAGTTTATAGTTACATTCAAAATTTCAAAGAAATAAATCCTACCTTATAGTCATATTCTATGATAGCTTCAGGGATATCCAACTGATCAGGTGAGATTAGATTGTACAAAAACTCAATACCAGGTAATGAATGAACCTTGTCCTTGATTGTAGAAGCAGCAAATGTTGTAAACCACCATGTCATCATCTTTAATAAGAGCACAAAGAATAACCACAATACATTAATCATATGCTACAAACAGTTAAGAAATATAAGAAATGAAATGTGTTAAACCAGAACATTTTATTTTATAGGTCTAAGTTAGTCTTACATATGTTGTGGGAAAAGTTTTGAAAAGTCTGATAAAAGATGCTTTGGAAAGTTATTTAACAAAGTTTAGACTTTCATTGGATAGTCAACATGGTTTCACTAAGGGAAAATCTTACCTTACAAATATTTTGACATTCTTTGAAAAGGTTACTGCTTACATACATGAGAGTATGGGTGTAGATTTGATGTATCTAAATTTTCAGAAAGCACTTGACAGTGCCACACAGAAGCAACTGGTAAAGAAAAAATTATCTCTATAGGTGTGTGTGTGTGGTGGGGGGGGGGGGATAAGTAACCTAATAAGTTAGCAGGATCAGTTAGCATATTGGATAGAAGAGTGGCTAGATGTAAGAAAACAGAGGGTTGTTATAAATGGAATTCAGTCAAACTGGATTAATGTCACAAGTGGGGTATCTTAGGACTCAGTCTTAGAATCTTTGCCCTTTTTGATTTAAATCAATGACAGATGAAGGAATGGTCAATAAATTACTTACATTTGCTGATGATATTAAGGTTTTGGTGTTGCTACCTGTGAATAGGATTCTGCTGCTTTACAAATAGATTTGAATTATTTATTGAGTTGGACAACTCAATGGCGGATGGATTTTAATTATAATAAATGCAAGGTTATGCATACGAGTTATCATAATTTGAGCTATAAGTATAATTTAGATGGGAATAACCTTAACAGTGTCATGAAAGAAAGGGATCTTGGTGTAATAGTTGATTAGTCTCTTAAGCCATCCAAGCAGTGTGCTGTTGTAAGTGGCACGGCAAATAGAATTTTAGATTGTATCTACAGAAATAATAATTTCATTGTATAGGTCACTGGTTAGACCACATTTGGAGTATAGTGTTCATAGTAGTGCTACGAGAATGGTGCCTGAGATGGAGGGGGTTGTCATATGGGGAGAGGTTAAGATCTCTGAAATTGTTTTCTCTTGAAAAAAAGACAGTTAGAGGGGGAACTGATTGAGGTGTTTAAGATTGTAAAGGGAACTGATTGTGTTTCGTACTTAACGGCGAGGTAGGAATCATCTTCAGCTAAGACAGTTTTATTTTTCCAACAGGGTGGTTGGCCTCTGGAATGGGTTGTCTTCAGATGTTGTGGAGGCAGTAAATTTAAGTCAGTTTAAGAGAAAGCTTGATAACTATATGAATGACAAGGGCTGGCTTTAAGAATGTTTTTCAATTTATCTATTTAATAGTTTTAGTTTAGAGGATGGGACAGCCGAGATGGACCAACAGGTCCCTTGTTGTCCCTACACATTATGTTATGCTCTTACACATAATTATATACAGTGTGGTATGTAGCTAAACTCCAAACAAAGTTTTGGATAACAAAGTAAACTTTAACAAAACTTAGTGTTTAACCAGTTTATTATAACATGTAATTATATACAGTGTGGTCTATAGTAAAACCTCAACAGACAAAATAAAAGTAAAGGTAACACAACAATCAACTTTTCATGATTAACCTGTGCTTGCTACAAAGTGTTGACATGCACATTTTACTACACAAGTTTGGTTAATTCAAAGTTTGCTATGAGAAAGCAATTAATCATATCATGTAACTATTCATGTTACATCACATTACCTTATTCAAATTGCATGGAGTGTACAGTATATGTTAAAATTTTATATTATTAAGATCACATTTTAGTAAGATAATACAGTAAACTTTATAATCAAACTGCATAAAGACTCAGAGGGGCTCATATAACTTTATTCAAGAAATGTTTCTGACAACAATAGAAGAACTACAGGTATGACAAATTAAGACATAAAGAAAGGTGAAAAAACACAAGTAAAAGTAAGTGAGATTTTACTGTTTTATCATACTTACCCTACTTCGAATAGTTGGGTGGATAATATAGAAAGCTCTCAGGTGTTTCTTGTATGTTTGGTCGAGCAAATCATATGCTTCCTTGAGAAATGTAAAGGGTATCTGATGTTCTTTTGTTGTCAATGAATGGAAATACAAAACAACGTAGTTCTGCTGTACCACTGAGTTTAGTTTGTTAATTAGGTATAGTAGTGCCTAAAAAAAAAATGTTACATTGGTCAACTTGAACAACAAATCATGATTTATTATGATACTTTAAATGCAGTGTGAAAAGTTCTTGTAAAATTACTTTTAACATGGCCTACAAGTTACTGATATCACAAGATATCTTGCATATTTTACAGATATGGTGGAAAAGTAGAGTATTTCACTTGTGCCACAGTTTTCATTTTTTCGTGTTATATTTGTATATTGGAATTGTTTATTTCTTATGTATACATTTCTGTTGTAATTACAAATATTGTTTGTCTGTTTTGTACCTCCAGATTACTGATGATGGAATTATGACGATTCCAAAATGTTTAATAAATTCTTCCTGTTATTACATTCGTGTTTTGTTTTATTAGTAAGTTATCTTTTCTGAAAAATGAGTTGCTTAATGCCATTATATTTGTTTGAATTTGTGTCATGTTGTAGAACCTATGGTATATACTAACCTTTTTTCCCAATATCCCCCACAGATGTATTTGCCTTATCTAGATATACAATTTAGCTAAGGGGAATCCCCAAGTTTTCTTGTGGTTATATGTTGTACAAATTGTCATCAAAAGTTTTGGGATTTATACAGTTATGTATTGCTTTTTTAGCCATGATAAACTTAAAAAACAACACAAAAAAGGATCAACTATGCTTTTACTTGTACTTTCAGTTGTAGAAGAGGTTTTCATCCCTATCATTACAAAAAAATCAAAGCAGACCACGATTTTTCAAAAACAAAGTTTTAATATTTGATGTCTGTATATAAATAGAGCAACTATAAGATTAATGAATAGGACATTATAAAAACAAAAGTTTCTACTGTAGCAAAACCCACAAAGTTGTGCACAGCAATTTATCATTACATTTTCAAAACATAATATTGTTGGGGTATGTAGGACTAACAAAAACCTATACAATTGCATTTCTTTTAACAATAGATATCAGAGAATCAACCAAATACAACTTTTCCATTCAAATAGTTTTTTAATTTAATATTCTTTTTATTTAAATGGAGAGATTTAGTACTTATAATAATATTTTCAATATCTATGTATAGGTAAAATAGTATTTTGGTTTCAAAATTTCTCTTCTAGAACCATATTACAATCTATACATATCCAGTACGTATAATAGGTGTTCAATATCCTTAATACCTATGTATATGTAAAATAGTTTTTGGTTTCAAGAATATATTCCTTTCTACAACTGTATTACAAATCTATACACATTTAGTACTTATAACAGGTGTAGAATATTCTTAATACCTAGGTATTGGTAAAGTTTGAAGACTATATTACATTCTAAAATAGTATTATGAATATTCACATATTTCTCTTCTTATTAAATGAACTTAGAAGCTTTTGTTAATTGTTTACTGAGTGCAAGTTATTTTAAAGTGTTTTACATTATAATCTTTTTATAAATTCTTGTTACTTTTTATAATAATATGGGTAAATTAGGAAGAATAGCTACTGAGAGGTTTTAATGGTTTATTTATGAACTCTAAGCCATCCGTTTCTTTTATAATATTTTTCATATGTATCAATACAGCATGAAAATTTGTAGAAGAAATATTTGAAATATTTTGTGTTTTATTGTTCATGACCATCTGTTTTATTCTAGAGCCAAAATAGGAGAGGTAGTTCAGGTATTGAGTAATTCTTGTCCATTTAGACTTCAAGAAACTAACTTTCCTATATTATTTAATAATATTAAACATTAAGCTGTACAATACTGATATCTAAGTCATTGTCTGTTATATCTTGTCTTTATTACACTGAGTAAGGTTTCTCCATGTTAGAAATAGTTTTTGAATGGGATTCTATACACTTATCATTATGGACTTTTGGGATTCCAAACCCTCCATCTGCTATGGTCAATTAATTGTTAGTGTTAGAATAATTTTATTATTCTATTTTTCTCACAATAGGAAAAAATATTAATTAGGTCATCAAAATACATTTTTTATTGCACGAAAACTGTAAGATAGTGTTTCTTGAGATATTGGAAACACATTTTCAGTGTAGGAAAATTATAACTTCCGATACGGTAAATTACCTCTGCTCACATAAATAGCTAGAATTCCACATTGAATAGGTGGAGGGACCAGTGCAAGGGAAAGAAGAAGCATTCGAAGTACACTCCCTAAGATGAGACAGTCAGATTCTGAGACCTGATGTGGGGAACTGCACCATTTCAGAACCAGGTATACTCTTTACCCATTGTAGAAAGATGTCACATATATGAGCAGAAAAGAAAGAAGCACATCCAATTGGGAGAAAACTATGGCTGGAAAGTGATCTGAACCATGCAATAATTATCAAACTCAATCCCAGAAATTATAAAAGTGGGTAAAATGAAAAGGATGTGCCCCTAGGTGTAGAGTGGCTAGGGTGCATGGCAAGTCAGCTACATCCAAAACCCATGCTGCTGGGAACTGACATCCACGTGGGGGTAGGATGAGGATCATACCATTGGTAAGTCAACTGCAATCCAAAACATAGCCGCCGGATGCCAACATCCAATTTTAACGTCTCACTCCCATTTGTTTTGTGTTTTATATTGGTGGATATCACGTCAGCTACACCAGCAGAACACCTCTACCCTACTCTGAACTGAATGGTTTTATAATTATTTCTATTTTTTGTTTGTATTTCATTAACCCATTCAGAAGATTGCCTCCATGGTCCACCACCCCAGTGGCTTGGAAATGGAAAGTGGTAAGAACTCTCAAACTCCACTAGAAGAAAAGGGGTAAAACACGGTGGACAGTCCAGAGGAATGACAATGCCTGAGACAGTGCAATGGGTGACCATAAAACCCTATTTTTAAAAGCAGACCATACTGATTTATTCAATACGAGGCACGGTAGGGATGGGCAGCTATCCCCTTCTGCTTTACCCATGTAGTCCATAGGTGGGCAAACTTATGAAGCAATTCTATTGTGAGGATAAACCTACATGCAATCTTGTGGAACACCCAATCTCTGCAGTGTGCATTGTGTGGCCATGGAATTATAATATGCAAGTCAACGTGGCTTAACAGTGTGGATTTGAACAGTTAAATAATACTTGGTCAGGCACCACTTGCTACAGAGCAGGATCCAAACAATAAGCATTAATAAAAGGGAAAAGGGCCACTGAAAAGGAAAACTAAGAAAAAAACAACTTACCAATCAAAGTCTCACTGAATTCTGATATTTTAGAATAGAATAGCTACAGGCAAGAGATGATAACCTGAAGATGAAGAAAATTGTGATCCTATGCAAATAGTGAGAGACAAACATATCATGGGTAGTCCACATGCCCGACTGAGACTGAAGAAGTACCTCCAAAGGACGATGAAGATGAAATGCCAATGAAAAGGTAAGGTGTTGAAGTGGGTGAGAAGACACTCAGAACAAAGTACAGGAGGAAGATGATAAAGAGGAAGAAGCCAATCAAAGAAGAGCCAGACCCAATAGGCAAAAAAGGAAGGAGAAAGAACATAAACAGAGGATGGTTGCCAAGGGAAAAAGAAGTGGGAACGGACACCACAGAAAGAAGTTGTGCATGCAATATAACAGAGAAGAGCACATACAGATCATAGAAGTCTATCTGGATCAGGATGAAGATAAAGGTGCGAAACAGAAGGAAGGGAAAGTGGCTAAATGGTGGAGTTATTCCCACGAACAATCAAAGTGTTAGAGAGGAAAAACAATCTGAAGAAAAGAGAAGATACGTAGAAAGATAAAGAGTATCTGAAACACTGATGGCAAATAAACAGACCACTGATGTCTACAGGTGAATAGGAGAAGGAAGGAAAACATATGGGAAGGAGATACAAGGAGCACTGGGAGAGTGGTTCGAACATAGGCAAAGTAAGGCAGTGCAAGACCACATTAATATCTCCATCTGGAAGGGCAGGACGCCATGGTGAATGAAAAATCCAGAAGAAACACATCCTGATCCACATCCAGAAGACCCCTGATCCAAAAGTCAAGAGAAGAAATCTACATGACTAAGTACAGTGGGTTGATCTGGAGAAAACCCTGGATCCAGAAACCAATGATGGAAAAATTCCATTTCGATTGAGAAACTTCCACGTTGGAAGGGCAAATGAAAGAGCCAGAAAAGAGACTAACCATTGGTAGAAGCTGGATCACCTTGCCAATGACCAGAGGAAAACCAAGCATGAAGACGGAGGACAGGAAGGTTTGGATGAAACACCAGTGACTGAGGGAGGTAAAGAAGGGATGGAGACAGAGGAGGAAGTTGAAGCTGGAGAAGCCATGGAAACCACAGGTGAGACAGCCAGGAAAGAACTATCAGAAGCACTGAACGTGGAGTGTCAAGGATGAACAAACTTGCCCAGAAAAGAAGGAAAACATGAGGATAAACAAATGTGTATATCCAATTCTGGCTGAAAACACTGATAGCCAGAGCAAGAAGACAAGGAACCAAAACCAAGACAATCTGTGGTAAACGGATGTAGCAAAAGCCTCAATGTGAGGAGTACTCCACTGAAGTCAAAGCCATTGGAAAACAAAAGGATCAAGAGACCACTCCATCAGATAAATGTTGTCTGGACAGGAATCCCATCCACAACAAGTGCAAAAGCACCTGGAACATGACACACAAGGATTGGAATATCGAACATGTGGGCCCAAAAGAAGATTCAACGTATGAATACAGAGGGATAGATAATGGGTGCCACCTTGGTGAATGAGATAAGTAACCACTGAAGAAAAATTGGAATGGATCATTACCAGACAATTTCTGGCCACCTAGAAGAAATGAACCAAAACACGACCTACGGCAAGAAGCTCCAGGACATTGATAGAATAAGACTTCTCAGCCATACACCAAAAACCCTCGAATCTTTCAGTTTATCAAATCATGCACCCCTTCCCCAAAGAGATACATCCATGAAATGTGGAAAACTGGATGGGGAGGAGAAAGCAGGACACCTGCCAATGTGCGAGTCATATCTAACCACCAACGCTGATCAACAACAAG